GGGACGCCTGGATGGGTCAGTGGGTTAAGCCTCAGCCTTTGGTTCAGGTCATGGTCTCAGGGTCCTGGGATGGGGGCTCTCCATTGGGGTCTCTGCTTGGCGGGGAGCCTGCTTCCCCTCTCTTTCTGCCTGCCTCTCGCCTACTTGTGATCTCTTTTTCTGTCAAATACATAAAATCCTAAAAGGAAAAAAAAAAAAAAGGGCAGAAAACAGTCTACTCCTGTAAGGCAAAATTGCTTTTACAATCTTAAAATTGCCTACTAAATTTTTTACATTGTTAACTACAGCTTGCATTTCCTGGATAAAACTAAAACACATGTTAATTTCCACAATGTGCAGCAGTAGGAAAATATGGAACAAAAATATTTTCTCCTGCATTTATTATTTTCACCTTTGGATGGCCTATGAGAAAAATCTTATATGCTGGAACAAGCACATGCCTGTCAGATAGAGGGCTCTCTGACCAAGTTACAGCAGCCTCTTATTGAATATGATTAATGTTTTTCAGAAGTCATGGGAGAGAGCACCTTTTATTCGATACATATTTTTAACCTTTCTATAGTCCCTGTTAGTTATTAAGGGAAAAAAAAAAAATAGGTACTATCTAGCCCCCCCCCTCCACCTTTTAAAGCCTGGAAGGGAAGATGAAATGTATGATGTGTTTTTTAAAATATTTTAAAAAGTTAAATTATAAAAGTTTAAGAATAGCTTTACATATTTTATTGGAGATTTCTAGTCTCAGAGCTAAAAAACTATTAAATTCTAAATGAAAGCTTGCCTTTATATATCATCTCTGATAATATTTCTGTGAATGAAAGTCTTTTAGTTGGTTTTCTTTCACAACAGAACCACTGTCAGCCTTAGACCCAAGGTGCATCTGCAGGAGGCTACGAAGCAACACATGTGGGCCAAAGTCTCATCATGCCATTGGTAGTGAGCATATGAAAGGGTCAGTGATGGCTGCCTATATGGAAATGCTGTAACTGCCTTAAGAACATTCCAAGTAAAAAATGCTATTGGGATTCAGGTGTGAGTGATTAGCTGCAGCTGAAAAGATCTGAGAATCAGGTCGGAGAAACATTAGGAACGGAGTCTATTGCAGATTTTTGTTGTTGTTGTTCTCTCCGTTTTGCATGGAGCAGAGGTTCTCAAACTTGATCACGCAAAGGGCATGTGAAGACACAGTTTGCTGGGCCCACCCCAAGAGACTCTGATTCAGTAAGTCTGAGGTGGGGCTGGACACATTCCAGGAGGTGCTGACGCTGAGCAGCACTGGTCAGGAACACAGAGATCTTCAGTCAAAGGTGCAAGCAGGCTGTGTGGCTAGTGAGTGTCTGGGGTGATCCAAGTGCTTACTGTTTGTGGGATTCCTTCTCTCCCCTAAAGTTTCAAGAATACCTGGCCCAGTCAGCCTTTGACAGATTACTGGAACTAAATTAACCATCCTAATAGGCGGCCATGTGTTATCTTGGCTGGGTAGTATGTAATTAAAAGCCTCAGGTAATCCAGCAACTTCGCTGGAATCAGTGGCTGCCACCCTCTGTTCCAGAGAACCGGCAATGTAATAAAAAAAAGTAGGGGGAAGGAGGACTTTTCTCAGAATTTCCCCCTTTCCTAACTGTTCTTGAGAATACTGAAACAAAGAAGCAGAAAATGGCCAAATATATGCAACTGAAAGAGAAACAAAAGGCCTGACTGACTCATAAATTGGAATCCTTCCCGTCAGCTCTACCTACTAAAACGCTGTATGAATCACATCTCCCTTCCCACTGCCTGAGTTCAGTTCTCCTCACGTGCTTCCCTCCCTTGCAGCTGGGCACTCCCGGGCCTGTGTATGTGGGTCTCTGTGCCCCTCCAAGTAGAAAAATCATAAAAAGGGGCCCATTCCTCTGAATTGAAGCAGCCCTCAGCCAGGTGAGCAAGGCTGGGCTGTATTTCAGTCCCGCTCACTTAGCCAGCGCCCTGGTCTGGTGCATGGACTGCACAACTGCATGGGGCTCCAGCACACCTTCTCCCCTCCACCTGGTGCCCCTCCTGTCCCACCCACAGTTCATGCCACCAGCACAATCTTCCTCAAATTCCAATCTGTTTGCATACTGGCTTCCAAGTCTCCAACCTTCCACCACTGCACCCAACATTCTATATGCTATGAGAAACCTGTCTCTCTTTTCAGCTTTTTTGCCACCTTTGCTCACCATTCCCAAGCTTCTGCCAAATGGTGCTACTAACTAAGCCTGGACATTGCTAATGGCTTTGTACATACAATTCCTTTAAACTAGAAAGCCTTTCCTTCCTTCATGCCTTTCCCCTATGGTTGCTTGGTCAATTTCTAGTCATTCTTTTAAAAAATAATTTTATGTAAAAGAAACGTGGACTTAATTTAAAACTTGGAAAATGCAAAGAATTATGGGGAAAGTCTGTATTAAAAGGTTAACAGTGCTTCACACTTCTGATGATTTGATTGATTTTTTCCAGGTATTTTCTATGCATATATATTTATGGATCATACCTTAAAAGTTTGTATTGTGCTTTTTTCATCTAATATTACATTGTAAGATTCTTTCTCAACTTTTATAAATTATTTGAAAACATCTTTTTTTTAATGGCTACATAATTCTCGTGTTTGTGTGTGTGTTTACAATTGATCCTTGAACACAGTGAGTTAGGGACGCAAACTCCGCCCCTATAGTCAAAAACTCATGTGTAACTTTTGACTCCCCAAAAACTTAGCTATGAATACCCTACTGCTGACTGGAAGCCTTACAGATAACCTGAAGAGTCAATTAACACTTATATTGTATGTTATATGTTATAAACTGTATTCTTACAATAATAACTTTTTCTTAAATTTTTTTGTATGTCTAGTCTACACAGTTCGTCAGTGACTTTTTCCAAATTGTTGCAAATATCCAAACATTTTTCCAATATATTTGTTGAAAAGAAATCCACAAATCAGTGGACTTGCACAGTTTAAACTTGTCTTGTTTAAAGACCAACTGTATAGTATTTCTGGTTTGTTTTAATCCTTGTTCGTCTTTAGATGGTTTCCTTTTCATATTTTTCCTATAATACATAATGCTACAAAGAAGAGTTTAGCACATAACTAAGACAGCTCCTCTGATTATTCTAGAGAATTCTAGAGTGGGATTACTGGAATGGTAGAAAAGAACACTTAGATTCTTGTTACATGCTGTTGGGTTGCTATCCAGAAAAGGTGGTCAAATTTATAAACTCACCAGTCATGTTCCTCTTACTTAAAAACAGCCTCTCTCTTATTAAGGCTCATAAACTCGGGGGATTTTGTCCTTGATAATTTGATTTTAGTTGTGCATTTCTTTGATTAGACTGGAAATTTTTCTACATTATTAAACATATGTAGTTCTCCTTTTATAAACTCTTTCTTGGGGTCTTTCAGCTAGAGTCAAACTTGTTACTTGTTTTCAATAGTTGACTTAAGCATCCTGTCACTGTGAAGTTCTCTTGACATCCTCCACACAACCATTAGTTCACACCTCCTCTTCTGTGGACTGTGTGTGCACATCTACTCCTGGACTCCTGGACTCTGCTATAACCGCTTATGCTGTGTGTCCCCCCCTACTCAAGAACAAGAAACTCCCGGGCCAGGGCTGCGTCCTATGTATTCTTTTCCTCGGCCCCTAACCAATTGCCTGGCACAAGGTATGAGTCAATGAAAACATATTTAATGATCTAATGAATAAATGAAAAGACTTAAAAGACCATTGAAGAGCTGACTTCTAACTTCACATGGATTTCATCAGGATGGTATAATCTACATTTTGTATTTATCAGAAAGCATCACCAAGGGATGCCTGGGTGGCTCGTCCATTGAGCGTCCGCCTTTGGCTCAGGTCATGATCCCAGGGTCCTGGGATTGAGTCCCACATCGGGCTCACTGCTCAGTGGGGAGCCTCCTTCTCCTTCTGCCTGCTGCTCCCTTGTCTGTGCTCTCTCTCTCTGACAAATAAAATGAATAAAATCTTAAAAAAAAAAAAAAAAGGATCACTAAGTTCCCTGGATAAAGCTACTCTTTAGAGTAGCTTTGTTTAGAGTAATAGAAATGTGAATAAAAGAGCATATAAAAGTTCACACATTAAAAATTCACACTGTTAAACTGCTAGAGAATGAAATACTCCTGGCAACTGTTTATTCAGAAAAGAAAGCTAAACACGTTTCTTTCATTTAAAGAAACTTCCTCTGCAAGATACTATAAAATTGTTTTTATTGATTCATCTGATAGCTTGATAGTTACCATAGTTAACCTTCCAAAAGGAAAACACACAAAAAAAGAGGTACTTCCTCTGACAATACAACACATATTATATTTACACATTAAATATACAAGTGAAAGTTAAACTTGAAAACAAATGCACTTTTTGTCATGTGATACTGTAAATTACAGCTTGTATATTCCTGATTTGGCCATTTCACAGTTTTGCTATACCACACACAAACACACACACACATATATCCAAGTTAATATATTTCTGAGACAAACCAGAGGTTTGCTCTCTGGGGTTCTCAGTGGGGTTGCTTCTAAGCTGGAAATAAGGCAAATATTCTTATCTTCGGAAGGGATGGCTGAGTGGGGGTCCTGGGACTATTCAAATGTACCAGCTCTCCAGCTCAGAGTCTGAGTGTGTTGGAGTACAAAGGGACCCCAGAGCAGCTGAAAATTAATATTCCCCATATGTTCTTTTACCAAAGGTGGAAGTTCTTACCTACAAACTGGGCTTAGAGTTTCTTGTTTGGTTTATTAGCCACAGCTGTATTTTCCCCTCTTCTTCCTTTTGGCTGTAGTGTTGTAAACCTTTGTAAACATGTAAATGTACGATTAAAGTGCTTGATTATGCTCAGTTTGAGCCACATCCTGCTCTAGGTTTGAAAGCACAGCTCTCAGGAACCTCAACATGATCTCACGGTTTCCACAAAGAGCAGAATAATGGCTGTTAATAGGTAGACTTTAAGGTTGTTGTTACCACCTACCCTCGAACGAGGTTGACTGAGTCCTGGGTGGGCTTTACTCTGTGTTGAATACCCGGTTGCCTCATGCAGCCAAATGCAGTAAACAGGATTCTCTGGTAAGTCATACATCCCGGTTTTTCAAAGAAGCATAGATCCCTCCTGCAAAGAATCCGTCAATGTGATAAACTTATAAAATGAAGTTTCCAGAAATTGGAACATTTTGTAACCCACTCCCAAATTTGGATACCTCAACACCCAAGAACCTAGACTCCAAAAGAGGAAAAACTAATTTTTCTTCTCTGGGCTGTAGTCACACCCTGCCTTGTGTCTACTTGTTTATGGATCTCCTCCCTACATGAGCCTCCAGAGGGTGGCTGGGAAAGTCTCTCCAAACCCTGACCTGGCTGTATTCCCCACCTCACTTCTCTGTGGAGCTTCTGTAATTCAGGCTATTGTCATACAGAGTAAACAAATCAGGTTTCACTAGAAATGAAGAGGGTAAGAAATTTTAAGAACACATATCACATAATTGTGAACAGTGGTGTTTCTTTGGGATTTGAATAAAGACCCTGAGGTCTCTAGACCTCTTTAAAAAATTAGGGACTCCAAGCACAAACATTGGGACAATTAATGTCATCACTTTAAGACTTTTAACAGGTTACAATATGTGAAATTGTAGTTGCTGTTAAGAATTCGAAAACATCTACTGGACCGGCTCATGAGCAGAAAGTGAACACACACTGTTAAAGATGTTATCATATAGTTTTAAAAATACATTTTGATGTTTTGTTATAGGACATAACTTAAATTTTAAGTTCTTTTCTTTAAACATGGTTCTTTGACAGAAAATGTAACATATTCCTCAGCTTACCAGAGACTGGGTAGTAAAACAGTGTCACAGACTGGACTCCATGTTAGTTCGGCAGGAATTGCTGGGCCAATTTCTGTACATTAGAGGCCTTATGAAAATCTTGTGAAAAAACAACCGAAATACTGGTGTTCTGAAAATTATGAAAATCCAAGGGTCCACAATGGAGATTACAGAGAGAAAACGCAAGGCTTGGAGGTCTTCCATTTCTTCAAAGTTTCCATCTTTCTCATGGACAGTTTTAAATGCTCCATAGTAAGCACGATACTGTTTTAAAGAAAAACATTCCATTATGATATTGAAAGGTTGATGGAAGAAACAAATGCACTTAACCTTACTTTAAAAACATTAATTTTGTATGAACATGGCAACTTGGTTTGGAAGATTCATCTTGGATAGATGTATTAGCCGCAAAATCTACTGCGGTGATGGGGGTGAGTGAGGCGGCCAGCAGATGCAGGGCTGAGCTGAAGGGGAGTAGAAGGGAGGTACTCCTGGGAGCCCTGGTCTCAGGCCCTGGAGGCTGTTCTGCCTGCTGTGATGCTGCAGGCCTGGAGTGTCCAGGTCCCCGCCACGCAGAGGAAGAGCTGAGGTGGGGCATATCCAGTCCACTGAATTTTTTTTTAAGATTTTATTTATTTATTTATTTGTCAGAGAGAGAGAGAGAGAGCGAGCGAGCGCTTGCGCGTGCACACACAAGCAGGGAGAGCAGCAGGCAGAGGGAGAAGCAGGCCTCCCGCTGAGCAAGGACCACCCCCTACCCCCCCGCCCCCGAAGTCAAAGTCGGGCTCCATCCCAGGATCTCCAGACCATGACCTGAGCCAAAGGCAGAGGCTTTACTGACTCAGGTGCCCCAGTCTACCAAACCTTTTACAAACAGGGTCAGCACACTCCCCAAAACACAGAGGTTCTCTTTTCTTCCGTTCTCCTTTCTTTCTTCTGTCTGCTTCCTATCTTCTTATTAGCCCAGAAATAAGCCTTACTTGTGAACGTCACATGTTACGGAGACAACGATACAGAAACTTTTATTCAACATAAAAAGACAGGAAATACTCCAGTAAGATTGGAGGAGACTTATAAAAGGACCTGTTTGACTCCTGTGAATTACTTATTCTTAGAATAATGGTTACCTTTCTGTGGTTGACACCCTCTATTCAGACTAGAACACACACACACACACACATGCACACACACACAGAAATATATAAGCCCACTTATTTGTGCCTGACTGCCCCTATTGTCTTGATCCTGCCTAAGGTGTCTGGCCTCCTTGGAGCCATGCAAACTGCCCTATCCCATGGCTTTACCTGCCATTGAGCCAAAAATGGCAAACACTTCAATTAATACTACAGTTGCCTCCCACTCTGTTGGAGGCCAACTATTCCGTTCCCCATGCTTACTGAGATTCTAAATCCATAATGGGACAAAATGGGCTCTAATGGGACAGAAAATATGTAAACTCAAAATCTGTGGAAGGGGATATGAATAACTGCCCAGACCAGACCCATTTGGGGCAGTTAAGGAATATGGGATGTGTTTTCCCATAATTGTTCCTTACCTTGTGCTCTCATTTTTATAGAGCATTTCAGTAGGCTCAGATATTCCCATCTCATTTCCATTAAGAAGATATAATTCCCATTAAGAAGATATGGGGTACCTGGGTGGCCCAGTCGGTTAAGCCTCTGACTTGGGTGCAGGTCATGATCTCAGGGTCCTAGGATCAAGCCTCATGTTGTGTTCCCCATCAGCAGGGAGTATGGTTGTCTCTTTCCCTTTCCCTTTGCACCTCCCCCCATTTGTGTTCACACACACTCTCTCAAATAAATAAAATCTTAAAAAAAAAAAGATGCATTCATATCTGAATGCCCTCTCCCATCATCATTGATTATATTACTAATAATAATGGCTAGTGCCCATGTAGAGCTTACTATATCCAGGCACTGATCTGAGCATTTTATTTTAAAAACTTCTTTTCACCCTCACAAAAATCCTCTGAAGTAAGGATGATTGTTATCTCCATCTCACAGATGTAGAAACTGAACATTTTACTTTAAAATCTTTTGGATTTTACATGCCCAAATCCTAGCTCCTTTCAAGGTCTGTCTCAAATACTATGCCCTTCAAAGCCTCTTTGAGGTAGTGGCTAAGCCCATTAGCTTTAGAGTCTGACTTTGGGGTTGGATGAAATCCTCTCACCTGCTGTGTGAAATTGGGCAAGTTATTCCATTTCCTCATCTACACAACAGGGAAAACTGTACCTATCTTACTTTTGTAACTGTTAGAAGTCTGAATAAGATGGTATGAGTAAGACCTTGACAACAGGTCCTAGCACATAATAAGAACTCAAAATTTGCTATTTTATCAATTAGTAGTGACTCCTTTTCTCCTCTAAACTCTCTTATGGCCCCAATCACTCCATCCCTCACCCAGTATTCAGCTTTGGTGGGCAGATGTGATATTTTATTTATTTTACATCCCCACAATGAACTATAGTGTCTTGAACATTGTGGGTACCAGCTACATGCTGAATTTGATTAATTGACAATAGGCTCTACACTAAAGCTGATTTAAAAAGCAAATACTTCAGGGTGCCTGGATGGCTCAGTGGGTTAAGCCTCTGCCTTTGGCTTGGGTCATAATCTCAGGGTCCTGGGATTGAGTCCTGCATCCGGCTCTCTGCTCAGCGGAGAGCCTGCTTCCCCCTCTCTCTCTGCCTGCCTCTCTGCCTACTTGTGATTTCTCTCTCTCTCTCTCTCTCTCTCTCTCTCTGTGTTAAATAAATAAATAAAATCTTTAAAAAAAAAAAAGGCAAATACTTCATATAAGTTTGTTTTTACATTTGCTCCTTCCTCTTGAAAGTGGAGGGCAGGGGCGCCTGGGTGGCTCAGTGGGTTAAAGCCTCTGCCTTCGGCTCAGGTCATGATCCCAGGGTCCTGGGATCGAGCCCCGCATCGGGCTCTCTGCTCACCAGGGAGCCTGCTTCCTCCTCTCTCTCTCTCTGCCTGCCTCTCTGTCTACTTGTGATCTCTGTCTGCCAAAAAAATAAATAAAATCTTTAAAAAAAAAAAAAAAAAAAAAGAAAGTGGAGGGCAGCCTAAAACAATTCCAACTATTTCAGAATACTTGATTAGTTGGGATCTGAGTAATGAAATGACATCTACATAACTAGAATCATTTTATTTCTATGCACTATATATCCATGTCAATTCTATTGCATATAATTAGGTTATCTGTATTTTCAAGTCACCTGATTTATATTAGAAATGTATTGTTCTACACCTGGCTTTTTAATTTTATTTTTATTTTTAGAGTTTACTAAAAACATGACAATAATTTATTTATTTATGACAGTGATCTAAGTACATATCCTATTAATTCTGAAAAAGGTATCAATGTGAACATAATTTAGACTTTCAAAAAACCTCTGTTGCTCAATACTATCCTCTAGAACACACTTTATAAACTGCTCCTATAAAAGATGGCTAGATTAGTGAATAACCTCAGAATATACACCCCACATGTTTAAAGTAGTTCAATTTACACAGAGAATTGGTGTGAGAAGAGCTCCCTCTATTGGATCTGAGAGTCCATGAAAAAATGTTGCTGTTGTCAATTTGCTTGAGACTCATGCAGCTGGACATCCCTGATGAGGAGAGCTCTCTGGATTCTAATGCCCCTTCCACCCAGTTTATCCATCACAACACCCTAGACCTCATCTTCTGCTCTAGTTGCTCTGGTTGAAATCCAGTTTCAACCCTTTTCCCTGGGCCCATGGCTTGCCCACCATCCCTTACATACCTCTATCAGTTTCCTTTGAAAGGAGCATCCCACCCATTCTTTTTGCCCACCTGAATGAAATACATACATGAGTCATCTCAACACATGCAGGATGTCCTCCATCACATCTCTGACTCCATGGATTTGGATATATGCAATTACACAAGCTCATACTTATCTTCTCCTGGCTTGTCAATCTCTCAAGCTATTATGTCCAATTTATCATTAGATCCCTCTCTCATCTGTCCCCGCTCCCCTACCAACCTCCAATATGTCGTAGATCTCTAAGGTAAAATTAATTTTGATGAAAATACGTTTTATGCATTAGAGAATGTACTGCAAACAACTTCTAAAGCTGATCCCATGTATTTTCTTCCTGAGAAAGTTTTCAAGGTGGAAATTTGAAAATTCAATTTGGGGAAGTATCTTGCTCTAATGCAGCATTATAGCAAAATTAATTTAAAATATCAAACCCCAGCACACTTTTCATTAGCTTAATGAAATACAATATTCATGCTATGAGCAAGGTTTCTTTTTAAGGTTCTTTTCTCCCTTCATATGTAGCCTCAGCGAGGAGCCTGCTTCTCCCTCTCCCACTCCCCCTGCTTATGTTCCCTCTCTTGCTGTCTCACTCTGTCAAATAAATAAATCTTTAAAAAAATAAATAAAACTGAGGTTAGAAAAGATAAATAAGTCACTGTCACAGTTAATAAGGGAAAAAGACTAATTCAAACCCATGTATTATGTTAAAGCCATTATCCTTTCTAGAAAGTTATAGTTCCTGTGAAGAATGCTATCTACATTGCATATCTTTGGAATGTTATATTATAAAATCATTTTCAAATCCATTATTTCCTTCCATCTTCACAATTCCCTATAAGTCAGTTATTCAAGTCCCCTGAGAGACATGTCCAAATGCAATGTTCTTGTATTAGGCTCTATTATGTTCTTTTCTGCATTATTATTACTAAGACATTCAAACTGAGGACATAATATCCATGCATTTGGCTACTGTCTGCTTTTTCACAGCACAGGTAAGTAAGGCTATGAGTTTAGAGCACAGGTCTGCAAACATTCTCTGTAAAGAGCCCAAGAGTAAATATTTTAAGTTTTATAGATCAAGGGGCAAATGGTGAATATTTGGTAGGTATTTTTATAACAAGAGCGAAAACACATTTCCACAACTTTCATTGATGAAATTTAAAATGTAATAATAATTAAGCACTTTTGGGATGCCTGGGTGGCTCAGTTGGTTAAGCAGCTGCTTTTGGCTTGGGTCATGATCCCAGCGTCCTGGGATCGAGTCCCACATCTCACATCTCCCTCAGCCTCTGCCTGCCATTCTGCTGCCTGTGCTTACACTCTCTCTCCCCGATAAATAAGTATATAAAATCTTTAAAAAATTAATTAAGTACTTTGGGGGGTAATTCATATCTACTATGGAGAAAAACTAAAATCTTTTCTTTTTCTTGAAATAGTATTTGAGTTAATTGGGGCTTAGAGTTCCTGTTCCTGTACACTATCATCAAATTGATTGCAAAATCGATTCATTTGTCAAAACTATTCTTAATTTCATTCACTATACAAAAACAGCAGTAGGATAAATTTGGACTGTGGACTGTGGTTTGCCAAGATTAGATTCCTGGACCAGCAGCTTTTTACCTCACCTGGGAACTTGTTAAAATAAGAATCCTGGGGCGCCTGGGTGGCTCAGTGGGTTAAACCTCCGCCTTCGGGTCAGGTCACGGTCTCAGGATCCTGGGATCAAGCCCCTCATCCGCATCCAGGGCTCTCTGCTCAGCAGGGAGCCTGCTTCCCCCTCTCTCTCTCTGCCTACCTGTGATCCCTCTCTGTTAGTCAAATAAATAAATAAAATCGTTTAAAAAACATAAGAATCCTTCAAAAATACCTAAATCAGAAACTCTGGAGGGTAGGGCCCAACCAGCCCGACTGGTGATTCCCAGCAGGCTAAAGTTCGAGAACTACTGCTAAATATCTACGTCAGTATATTTTCTATACATAGAAATATAGATTTGTACATTTTTGGTAATTCTGATCTTAACCCTGCATGATGATGCTACAAACAACTCTTCTCCCACATATCAAGGCCTTCGTTTAAGGAAAATCATTGTATTTCACCTTTATCCAACCTTGAAAGTGACATCCAAGATTGCTGCATTGCCATAAGAAACTTAACATTTCTATTCACAGAAGTCTCAGCGTTCAAAGGCGCTGAACAGGCAATGAATTTATTTAAATGTTGTTCATGTTGAACAAGTACACTGGGGCTGGGGGAGAGGAGCAACCCTCAAAAAGACTTCTCAGCATCAGCGGCTGCCAGAAGTCTTTGCCCGGACGCCAGCGGGAGATGCCTTCAAAACACGTCGGTAATTCAATCTCCACCACCAACCCCGTCTGTAAACTGAAACTCGAGATAATGACTTTCATGTCACCTCGCTAGACTAGACAAGCACAAGACCTGTCAAGGCAGGTTATCAAAACGAACCCCCTGGCTGAACCGTATCTACACACCTGCTTGTCCAAACAGCCTCTCCGCCCGTACCGCCACCATCCTCCGCGGCGGCAGCACCAGGAACAGCAGCCGCCACTCCTCAAAGTTTCCGTAAGAGTGTTTAAATCTATCTTTAGTCCGTCGTCCCCTGTGCGAATCGCCCTGGCATGATCACACCTTCCCTTACTCTCTTTCCACGTCGACACCTGGGGGAAAACTACCAGGTACCTTAGTCCATATCTGATGCCTTTGAAATCATGGGCGGTTCTAAGAAATAAAGCATTACCTAGCCACCGGGAAAGGACTCGTACTGCCAAGGAGGAACCAAGTTCTGAAGCGCAAAAAAGACCCCGAGATCTTCCCAGAGGGAAGAAGGGAGGAGGGGGTGCTGCTAACCGGAGAAGTTTTGCGGGGCTAGGAAGACACCATCAGACTCGGTCTTCCCCTTCCCTGTTCGGGCTCAACAAATTCTGTTCTGCGTCGTCGGGGCTGTGGAGGGAACCGGATCTGGGGAGCGCCACCACAAACCGTCGCGGCCGAGGGCGCAGCTCCTGCGCGGCGTCCGACACGCTCCACCCTTCCCTCCCGCCCGGCCGAGCTCCAGGGCCCCCAAAGCGTCGGCGCGAAGGGACTCACTATTAAAGGCAGGGAGCACATAGTGAAAAGCACGGTCATGAGGGCCAGCAGCAGCAGGTGGTCCAGCTCCTCCAGGGGCTGCGCGGCCGCCTCCCTGTCGTAGGACCCCGGCTCGACGCGGTCCGGAGTTCCGCAGCGCGGGCGCCGCCGCAGCCGCCGGTGCATGGCGTAGAGGTTGCGCATGGCGCTCAAGTTGCACAGCACGATGGCGAGGACCAGCAGGGCCATGAGGCTGGCGTAGAGCACCGAGTAGCCCAGCACCGACAACGAACGCTCCTCGTGCACCATCTGGATGAAGCACCAGGTGCCGGGACAGTACTGCACGAACTTCCCGAAGCCCACGAAGGGCAGCGCGCAGAAAGCCAGACAGAAGGCGCCGATGACCGGCGCCACGAGCGCGCCGCGGCGCAGGGTGATGTGCTGTCGGTAGAAAAAGGGGTGCCCCAAGGACAGCCAGCACTCCAGGGCCATGGCCAGGAGCTGCAGCGTCGAGGCAAGCCCAAAGAAGGACATGAAGAAGGCGTAGGCTTGGCACAGGGAGCTGCCCGACGCGGGCACCAGTCCCCACAGGCTCCGGTTCTGCGCGTAGGCGGCCAGCACGAAGGGGCTCACGAGGGATTTGCCCAGCAAGTCCGTGATCGTCAGGCCGCACACCAGCACGTAGAAGACCGAGGGCGGCGGGCGCGGCGGGCACGACCCCAGCCCCGAGCGCGCCAGCAGCCCGAGGGCCAGCAGGTTGCCCAGGAGGCCCGCGCTGAAGAGCACCCCGCTCACTGTCGCCGAGTTGCCCTTCTCCACCGAGGTGGTGTTGTGACAGCGGTAGAGCGGCGGCCGCATGGCGGGCAGCGCGGCTGGCAGGAGCGAGGCTGCGGAAGGGCCAGGGCCCGGGCGTCTGCGTGTGGGAACCCCTGGCGGCTCCGCGAGCGGCTCCTGACCGGAGGCTGCGCTGCAGAGGCAGCTCCACGGAAGCGGGGGTGTTCCTCACCATCGGCGCCTCCTATGTAAACCCTCCGGTCACACCCCGCCTCTCGCGGCGGGCCGCGCGCCCGCTTGCGCACCGTGCACGGACATCGCGGATTCCGCGGCAGCCGGGCAAAGATCTCCACGCTGACGCGCCGGCCCCCAGGAGACGCAGCCCTTCGTGCCCAGAGTCGGAAGGAAAGAAACATCGCCAGAGTTTGAGCGCCCAAGATGGGTCCTCCCTACTAGGCAAGAGAACTGCTGGAGTGGAGGGGAGAGAGGCGTGAGGAGGAGGTGGCGGCGGAACTCGTGAGAGGCGCGCGGAGGGGAGGCTGAGAAAAACCACGAGCTTTTGAATTCGTGGAGTAAGGAGGGGTAAAGGTAACCCACAGTTGCATAACACTTAAGCCTGAGTGCCCATCGTCCTCCAGGTCCGTGCGAGCTGAACAATAATCTTTACTTATTAAGTGAGGAAAGTGAGACCTCGGGTGGTTAAGTTCTCTTTGCCCAAGGTAACAGAGCCAGTAAGGGCGGAAATGGACCTGGAACCCGGATCTTGTGTTTGTAGAGTCCATCGGTCCTGCTTCCATGCCTTCTCCTCTGGAGAGGTTGGCTAGATTTCAGGGAAGTGGCTCCAGGAAAAACCAAGAAGAGATGCCAGCCTTGGGTACCATGAATCGCAGTGGCTGTGTGTAGACGGTAGAAGGAGTATAGGTAAGAGCACTAACGCTGTTTATCATATAGACCTGGGTTCGAGTCCTGCTTCTGCCTGTCGCTTACTGCTTTTGTGTCCCTGAGGGACTTGCTTAACTTCTCAAGAAGTAACCTCTAGCCAGCCTGCTTGGATTTTCTGAGGCGTAGGGATAACTGGTAAAGTGCGGACACCTAGGAAGTGCTCGTTACAATGCAGTTGGGATTCTCACCTGTTTTAGGAAGTCTGTTTTAGTAGCAGAAATTAAACTGCAGTTTTTAGCATGGATTTTGAAGCCAGAAAACAGTAGACTTGATTTAGAGCTTTCTCACTCTGTTTTGTGACTACTGGAAAGCATTTGTTCCCTTGCATCATAGAGGCAAGGGAGTTCATGCTGATAAGTGTGATTTCTTTCTTTAACCCTTAATAAGGTGGGAGAGCAACTGGCTTTGAGTGTGGAATTTGAGTGGGATTACTGGGACCATATTACACAAACAAGTAGATTATGCTTGGTTTCAAGAACCTCATTCTTATGACCAGTGCCTGTTTTGATGGATAGATTGAGGGGGAGGGAGCAGGACTCTTGACCTTCGATGTGAAAGCCAGAGAAGCTGCCTCCAGGCTGAAAGCTTGGCTGGAAATACAGGCCATGGGGTAGAGATGAGAGTCCAAGCTTTGGAATTGGATAGTTCTGGAATTGGATAGCTGTGGCGCTGGGTTAGTTTACTCAATCTCTCTAAGTAAATCTCCTTGCAAATAGGATATGGGATTTATGCCGACCTCCTAGAGTTGTTGTGAAGTTGCAAAAACCCAATGCGTTTGGCAGAGAGTAATAATAACAATAATAATAACATCCGTGAACATTAATAGGCCCTTATACATGCTAGGCACTTTCAAATCTTTACACATCTGTTGATTCAATTAATAGAGAGCCTTCTGTGGGATAAGCTCTCTGGTCTTCTACCTTCTTCTACTCATCCCCACCTCCAGCTCTTAATGAAGATGATGGGTTTAGAAGACCACCACTTGAGTTGATGAAGTGGAAGAAGGAGCAGACTTTAAAACCAAAAGACACAAAATCTGATGACATCTGAGGTCTCCTTTCCAGACAGGCACACACACATACACATAAGCACACACACACATTTCACACTAATTATAGTGTGTTCCTAGTTTCCTGAAGTCCCACTGTGGTGCCCAGAGGAGGCCCAATGGACTCTAGCTTAGGAAACTTCCTCTAAGGATGTTGTCCAGTGGTGTTCTCTGAAGCATATCTACTCCACTTCTTTGCAGCCTTGTTGTTCTGTTACAGCTGTCTTCACCTCTGTACAAGATTAGTGCACAGGGAGAGGGGAGCCCACAAACGTAAGCAACTTTTTAGAAACAACTCCAAAGAGTGACTGAAGGGAGAGCTGTGATCCTTGATAGTGTTTATATATGTCATGCTTCAAAGGTTGATGGCCTTGCATGGGTATAATTCAGGAAACCACATGTTTCCTCCTGGCTAACATAGCTGGCCTTTACCATGGTTTCCGGCTGCTTTCCTGCCCACTTCACTGTTATTAACCCTGCTCAGTTCTCAGGCTTTACTTCAGGGTCTCCTAAGAATTCTGATTTTACAGATTTACTGTTCAGGCAAGAAAAGTGTAATTTGTTCACGCATCATGCATTTTTTGTGCTCGCTCTTTGGTGCCAGGCATCGCAGTGAGGGATGTGGGCACTGAGCAGGGCACAGCAAATCAAGGAAGGCCGATATCATGTCCTGTGAATTTTATATGGTTACAAATTTTTATATCAGTTTTCAGAGTAATATGCTAAACTTTTTTTTCCAGTAAGAAGAAAACTTTTTTTTAAAGATTTTATTTATTTATTTGGCAGACAGAGATCACAAGTAGGCAAAGAGACAGGCAGAGAGAGAGGAAGGGAAGCAGGCTCCCTGCTGAGTAGAGAGCCCGATGTGGGGTTCGATTCCAGGACCCTGGGATCATGACCTGGGCCGAAGGCAGAGACTTTAACCCACTGAGCCACCCAGGTGCCCCCAAGAAGAAAACTTTTAATGAAAATATCTTGGGCCCAGTTATACAGTAAATTATCTTCATTATTTGCAGAGCTGCACTAGGCAGCTTAATTGGCTTATAAAACAATCTGGAAAAATATGCATGACATAATGTGAGTGGACAAATCTGAACATATAATTATGACTTTGTAATTGTAGAAGACCTAGAAGTTGACGTAGGCAAAGGAAACATTGACTTAAACTTGAGAAGGGAAGATAGAAAATTTTCTTTTTGGGTTTCTGATATTTCCAATATAGTATCTGCAATAGGTACCTCAAAAGAATTTAAACAGAAAGCAAGTGTATGCTCGTGGCCTGGTTTTAGGAAGGGGAGGAGAAGGAAAAAGAATAGTGTTCCCTAAATCCTTCTTGACTCTGCTTCTCAATCTTATCCATCCCTCAGTCCTAATGAACTGCAAGCAATATTTCAGGTTATGGATTGTGAAAGCAGAGAACGGAGAAGAGGAAAGCTAAAAAGAAAAGAACAAATTAGCTACTAATTTTGGAGTATCTTCTGCATGCTCAAAGCCATGCTGAAGAAGGTTCTTCACATTCAGTAGGTAGGATAGAGCACAGCAGTAGGCTGACGATAGATAAGGTTTTTGGAGTCATACTGTGTGAATTCAACTCTCAGCTTTGCCCCTAAATACTTTCGCATGCTTGAACAATCTTCAACCTTTCTAAACCTCAATTTCCTTTTTTGTAAAAAAAGAGGGGAGGATAGGTAACTGTATTAAACCCGTGGGGTAGTTACATGGCTTAAGTGAAAGATTCTGCAGAGAGCAATAGTTCTCAACATTGGCTGCACTGTATCACCTGGAGAGAGTTTAAACATTTTTGATACTTCAGCATCCCCAGCCAATTAGATCAGACTCCCTGGGGGTGGTTTCCCGGCTTCAGTATTTTTGAAGGTCCCCTGTTGGTTCTGCTGCACAGCAAAGGTGAGAACCACTACTGGTTCATGGCCCTGGGAGGTATGATGCTATGACCAGCTTTGTGCAGTTCTGCCAATGGAGTTAATATTTTCATTCCTGCCAACTGCACCAAAGAAGTTTTTTTATCTCCCTTTTTGCAGGTGAAGAAAATGAGACTCAGGATAATAACTTCTTCAAGCTCACATAACTAATAAGTGATGAGGATAGAATGGCATCTGGGTCTTTTGGATTCCTTAAGCCTCTGCTATGGAGAAAAAGAGGAACACAGAAGATAAGACAGTGAGAGAAAAGGAAAGAACTCTGCTATTCCCTGTGTGTGCCCAGAAGTTGGGAGGCAGAGCTACCAGCGGGATCAGACAGCATTTCAGACTGGCCGGGTAATATCTTGTGACTATGTCAGCACAAATATCATTTCAGCATCTGTTGTTAAAATTTGCAGGTAGTGTAGTCAAGTCTTCATTTTGTCTGATTCTGATTTCAGCTTTATAGGGTCCCCCAAACTGTCATCCAGCAAGAAATTCCATTTTGATGTCTTTTGCTGTCAAAGAGAGAGATTAAATCCTTCAGAGATTCTGGGGAGTGGAAGTACCTTGGCCAACCTCAGTTGACCTTTCATGTCCACATGTAGATCCAAATCCAAATCTCTGTATGTTCAGAGCTTACAGAAAACATACTCCAAGTTTTAGCTTGGCTGTGGCTTAAACCCTGAAGATCAGCATGAATTTTTGAAAATGTCTTTGGGTGATGACCTATGAGTAAATAAATGGTGGAGTAATACATTTTTTAACTCAATTATAGGTTGTGACAGTTCACTGGATCCTGAGGTTTTCTGGTATTTTGCTTGTGGTTCTAAGCGATGTTGCTGGAAGTGTGGCGGGTTCCCTGTGAAGCAGACCCTGACATGGAGATTAGCATGTAGGATAGTTACTAAGGAGGGCTTTTGGATTGACACCGGTGAAAGGGAAGAAACAGAAGCAGGATTGGATGGAGAGATAAGTCATTCTGTGATACAGTTTCAATGAAAGTCTTACCCAAACCCACCAGAAACTAAGAAGCTGAAAGGGGCCCCAGGTTATCCTGAGTTGGAGATGAGGGCCTTTACACCCTTGGGTGGGCCAAGCACTGGGGCCCAAGGGAAGGGCACATGGCCTTGGGTGCAGCCAGGATCTTGAGACAAAGCCGTATTTGTAGGACT